GGGGGGGGGTGTGAAGGCGTTTTTAACCCTTCCCACATTTGCAATATTCTAAATGTTTGTAAACTCAACGTTCTAAAAGAGCACAGCATGTCAAGATTTCAGCTCTCTGCCAACTGCCAGCGCTCTCGGCCACGCCCACTTTTCCGTTGTAGAGTAGCTTCCCTGCAGCTGTGGGCTGCACACAGGTGCAGCAGGTGCTAAACTATTTAAAATAATTGATTTTAAATAAAAATGCCATGCTGATCATGCGGCTCATCCATCAATCAGCCAATTGTGTGTCATGTCCAATCTTATTTTGAAAAACAGCGATAGAGCAAGTTAGCCATCCGCGAAGAAGCGAGGGACAATTGTAAACACAAAGCGGTTTTTTATAAACTCTATGTAAAATCAGATGCCCTACCCATGGAATACTTGGCTTTTGTGCATCTTGTCCTCTTCAGTACCTCATAAACCTGGAGAAACAATAAAAGCACATTAAAAAGACAGACAGGTGAAATGCAGCTGCAGATTACTTTTTTTTAAGTTTAATACAACAAAAGAAATTAAAATTAACAGGCAAATAAAGCAGGCAAACACCAGAGTTTCATCCTCTGGCTTTAGAAACTAAAATACAAAGAACTGAACTGAGTTTTATTGATGTGAGCTGAAGCACAGCCGACAGCAAAGAGCTGCTCCATCCAATACTGTGAAGCCAATCCCATTATGTAGTCATTAGTGAGGTACTGGTAGTTGTGTAGGTGTTTATGCGTTTGTGTGGAGCCCTAGCAGTCGCTGCCTTACTTAAAGAAGCAAGATGGATGAAAATGTTTATTAGACGTAGAAAAACATGTCTATATGAACATGAATGTTACAGTCATTTACTTTTAGACTGTAAATATAAAAACACACCCTTAAACAGCTGATCACTATGAATACTTACTATTGAACTTCTGGTCTTGCTGTCAAAGAACTTGTCTCTGTCAGACAGATCAAACCTGGGAACAAACAAAAATGGGTCACGCTTCAATTTAAAATGTAGAGAATTAAAACGAAACCTGGATGTAAAAATTAGACTTTTTACTTCAAAATCCAGAGCTCCAGACAAAACAACTCTTACAAAACACCACACAAATTTACCAAGGCTTTTACGTTTAATAACATGAGGAACGTTGAGGGAGTGAACGTTGGAAATGTAAAACCTGCATTATGGTGGTCCCACCATGAAATGTGGAAGGTGTCCATGAGAACATAACTACCATCGTATGATACTGTTGGATACATTAATTATCATTTCATCAACTCGTTACTCAAATAAGCCACTCAGAGGATCCAATAAAATTTTTCAACCCAGTTTGACTTGCAAGGGCGTAGAATTGACAACAGGCTTACAGAGATGTTACACGGAACTCTGGTATCGTTCCTGCATCCGTTGGTTTGTCAATAACCAAAATATTTCATCAGTCACTGGATAGGTTTGAATAAAACTCAAAGTAATCAATAGATATACATTATTAACTGATAAACTTTTGGAGTCAGTTCCAGTCAAGATGGCCTCCACAGCCAACAGCTGTAGCTGACGGTGTTTTCAATGATTGATGAATTCCTTCAAGGAAGTCTACATTTTTAACTGAACACATCTTCACATGTGAAAATATGAGATTTCCACATGTGAAGTTCACACTTTTTTTTTTTTGTTCTTTAAACAGCAAGATCACCTTTGAGGAGTCAGAATACGATGGTTTCGGTACACACAATTTATCCTGATTAACTTAAACCAGTTTTCCTTATTCAGGAATACAGTAGTATATATACTAAAATACTTTATTTTTTATTATTAGACATGTCGCCTCCCAGCAAGAAGACTGTCAGACTGAATCCTGGCCCGGGGCCTTTCTGGGTGGAGTTTGCATGTTCTCTCCGTGCATGCGTGGGTTTTCTCTGGGTACTCCAGTTTCCTCCCACAGACCAAAAACATGCATGTTAGGCTGATTGGTAACTCTAAATTGTCCCTAGGTGTGAGTGAGAGAGTGAATGGTTGTTTGTCTCGTTTGTCTCCATGTGTCCCTGTGATGGACTGGAGACATGTCCAGGGTGTACCCCACCTCCCACACAATGACTGCTGGATATGGGCACCAGTGACCATGAAAGGAAGACACAGTTAAATATAATGAACATGTAATTTTTGTTTTCTTTCAATTTTTATGCAAAATACCATAAGTCAACAAAACATACCAACAATGGTCGAAGTGGAAAACAACTGGTCCATGTATTGGTCACGTCTAGACTGGATTATTGCAAAGGTTTGTTATCTGGGTGTCCAAATACTTCTTTAAAACATCTTCAGTTAATCCAAAATGCTGCTGCCAGCGTCTTAACTGGAGTTAGTGGGAGAGATCATATCTCTCCAGTTTCAGCTTCTCTCCACTGGCTCCCTGTCAAATCCAGAATTGAATTCAAAATCTTACTTCTAACCTACAAAGCTCTCAACAACCTAGCTCCATCTTATATTACAGATCTTATTGTTCCATGTTTTCCTAACAGAGCACTTCACTCTCAGACTGCAGGCTTACTTGCGGTTCCTAGAGTTTCCAAAAGCAGAATGGGAGGAAGATCTTTCAGTTATCAGGCTCCTCTCTTGTGGAACCAACTTCCAGTTTCTGTCCGTGAGGCTGACACATTGTCCAGTTTTCAGACTGGGATTAAGACTTTACTTTTTGATAAATCTTATAATTAGGGTTGGCTTGTTATGCTGTCTTAAACTTAGACTAGTGGAGGACAAATTGACCTCATTTTCTTAAATTAAATTGTTAAAATTGAATAGTTTTCATTTTTCAATTCAGTTTATTTATAAAGTGCCAAGTCACAACAGAAGTCATCTCAGGACACTGAACAGAAACTTTCATATGTAAAAATAATAATTTAACATTATTTATCTGAGGAGCAGACTGCTTTGAATTTAACTTCATCACAGACTCATCTTGAGCAAGCATGAAGGTGACAGTGGAAAGGAAAAACTCCCTCATGAGGAAGAAACCTTTAGCAGAACCAGGCTCAGGACAAGTAGCCATCTACTTCAACCGGCTGGGTTTGGGAGGAATAGATACACAATGGCAGATCAAGAATCACATATTGAGATAGAAATAATATCAAATGAAAACTATTCAATTTTAACAGTTAATTTTAAGAAATGAGGTCAATTTGTCCTCCAGTAGTCAAAGCCTATAGCAGCATAACAGGCCAGCACTGCCTATAGGATTTATCAAAAATCAAAGTCTTAGGCCCAGCCTTTAAACTGGACAATGTGTCAGCCTCATGGACAGAAACTGGAAGTTGGTTCCATAAGAATGGAGCATGATAACTGAAAGATATTCCTCCCATTCTGCTTTTGGAAACTCTAGGAACCACAAGTAAGCCTGCAGTCTAATTTGATACTATTTCTAACTTAACATGCGATTCTTGACCTGCCATTGTGTATCTGTTCTTTCTTCCTGTTCCTCTCAAACCCAGCCAGTTGAAGCAGATGACCACTTGTCCTGAGTCTGGTTCTGCTAAAGGTTTCTTCCTCATGAGGGAGTTTTTCCTTTCCACTGTCGCCTTCAGGTTTGCTCAAGATGAGAGTCTGTGATGGAGTTAAACTCAAAGCAGTCTGCTCCTCAGATAAATAATGTTAAATTATTATTTTTATATATGAATGTTTCTGTTCAGTGCCCTGAGATGACTTCTGTTGTGACTTGGTGCTATATAAATAAACTGAATTGAATTGAACTGAAAATTGTTTCCATCAAAACAAAGCAGGATGTCCTGGATGTGACAGATTGACACAACAACCTATAATCTGACTGATTTGAGCTCTGGATTTACCCCCAGTCCTCATATGAGCAGTCTGAGCGAAGAGATTACTGAATCTGTGTGTAGTTGTGTGTGGTCAAGATCCAACAGAACTGTAACAGTGCAGAAGAATGAAACCAGCTGAAGAGCTTTGAAAACCAGATTAAAGTTGAATCTGTAAACAGATTTAATCTCAGGGACCTGGCCTGGAGTGGTTTCAGGTCTGACGAGGAGAGGAAGGTGTGGAGGGAGATCTCCTGCTAGCTGTTAGTCAGAGCTGTAAATATAGCCGCTCACTGCCCACTCTCTCCTCCATACATCCCAGCAGGCCGAGGGCAAGACATTCTTCTTCTGTGAGCGCTGCGTATGAAGGCGGCTTCACTAGTCAGGACTAAACATGCTGCAACCACCAAGTCCCGACATCTGTGGACAGTGAATCCACAATTCTGTCACTCAAGCTGTGATTCCTTCTCAGTGTTCAGAAAATGTAAATGTCCTGTGAGTCAGACTTGCTGTTTGTTGGCCGGAAGGGGGGGTGTGGGTGACTAAGTGAGGGATGGGGGCTTCAACAGGATGCAGTCAGACATCATCGCTCCGAAGCCTTTCTGCCATATTTAACTCGGACAGCTTTATGGGCTCGTCTCACCCGTCCGTGTTTATTCCTTCTCCATGCTGGGCTTTAATATTTCAAGAGGCTGTTTAGAGAAAGCTGTGTATTCAAATGACTCTGTGCTGGTAATAATGTGGGTTAGCACTTCTTTTCTTTACCGTTTTACTGCTGGAAATGGTTTTCATCAAATATATTTTATGCATCAGACAAATGTAACTTGACATATCCGACGCTCCGAGAGGAAATTCTTGCTGCTCAAATATGTTTGAGCAGAAAAAAATTAATAAATACGACATCTTTAAATTAATTTTGACCCCAATCCAGTTTTTAAAATTCATTAATTTATTGCAACTCATCTTTTTACAAGCAGAAAATGAGAGCTCTTAGCTTTCATTTTGTTCTTATGTCAGTAGCTAGTCATTCGCTCATTAAATTTTAAATTCACGACAAATGCAGGTGTTCATTTTTCTGTATGCGTGGATTTCTGAAGCATGTCATTAAATCAAGCTGCACCTGTCAAACAAGTTAAATGTAACTCAATGTGCTTTACTGTGGAGAAAAAAGTTGGCAACGAAGATAGCTATCCCATAAGATAAAAATATTCCAGTAAAAGTATCCAGATTACAACAAAGTCCATGCTCCAGTAGTCGAAAAAAATAGAGTGCAGCAGTTCAGATGGTGTCTTTGGCCCGCCCATCCTCCATTTCTGGCCCTCTTCCTCGTTGATAGTCGTGTCAAACTGGTTGAAAACAACAAAGTCCATGCTCAATAATCCAGGTATACAATCTGAAATTTTTCAGTCAGGTCATCTGGACACCATCTTAGTACCAACATAACTGGTTTGTTCCACTTTGGAGTAAGCTGTTGGGGGAAGAATCAGTTTTGTGTTGTGTTTCCTTGACTGACGAAGCCTTTCGGATCGAAAGCGAAACGTTTCAGCACAAAAAAAAGAAAATGTCCAGTTGACCCGACTGAAAAATGCCGTATCCAGATTAGAGACTCCTCTTTAATCCAGCAGCAGGAAGTTAGTCTCAGTGAGTAAAGACTAAAAGCAGAAGCACCAAAAGTTCTTGTTCTGCTCTGTGGAACAGCTAAAGGAGAGGAACCAGTGGATCTGAGGGGATGCCCTGGTTCATAAACCAAAACCAGTTTTAAAAACCAATGAGAATTTTAACATCAATCCCAAAATGAACAGGCAGCCAGGACTGCAGAGCAGCGTGTTCAGAAGGAGCCAAAATGATGAGTTAAAAGGACTTTACCAAACTATATGAAACCAAAAGTCATTTTAAGCATTTTCAGATGGTAACTGTAGAATAATCCAAAAAACATTGCATAGGTTTATGCCATTTTATCAAATAATAGTTGGATAAAAATGTGAGTTTGACACATTTATTTATTTATTTTTGCATGCAGGAGTGTATATTACTATGTATTCAAAACCTCTGGAAAACAATAAACCCTGTCACTTTGTTTGGTGCCTCCAGGTTTCTAAATCTCTTCAAGGAGCTGTTCAGACAAATGGTAGTTTCTCAACTGACTGATCTTAGATCAGATTTATCCATGTCACGTCTCTTCATCCAACTTCAGATTACTTACTGTACGTTTAGTGCAAACAGTAACGATACTTCAACGTTGCAAAGTTAACTTTGTTACTTTCCTCATACGCCTTCAGCGTATGAAAGTAGTATCATTCTCCACAGATCATGATGCACACATAACAAGAAATCATACTGTATGACAGATGTTCACACCATAAAACACTTTCATAACACAAAAATACCTTAAAAATATGCACAAAAGCATCCCATGAAGTATTTAATATTGGATATGTCAATAAAAAAAATGCTTGATGCTTTGCATTGTTTTTATAAATGCGTATTTATTTAGTGTATGACAGGAAAAGGGGGGCAGATTTTTACGGGAGTTTATTGTTCTGTTGACCTGAGATGGGGAAAAAAAATAACTGTTGCACAGTCTGGAAGATGTTCTGGCAGGGAGGGGGTAATGATCTTCTCTGTTGCCCTCACTGTTCTCAGCAGGATTTTTCTTTCTGCAGCGGCGCAGCTGTCATACCAAACGATGATACAGTGGGTCAGGATGCTTTCGACTCTTCCTGTGTAGAATGTTGTCATGATGAGTGTCGGTGATTTGGCCTTTTGAGTCCATGCAGAAAGCGAAGGTGTTGCTGGGCTTTTTGGATGAAGACAGTGGTGTTAGTGGTCCAGGTCATGCCGTTTGCAATAAGCATCCCCCAGAAACTTAGTGCTGTTGACTTTTTTAATGGAAGTACTATTGATGTTTCAGCAGCACTGCTTCCTATCCTAAAGTTCAAAACTATTTCCTTGAGATTTTCCACCTACAGGGTGAGGTAGTTGTGGATGCACCACCTGGTCAGTTACTCCAACTCCTGTCTTCACACTAGAATTGCGATATCTAACCTGTGCCCGACCTGAAATTTGGGCCAAAATAATGTGCTGGATGGGTGGGCCGGGTCGGTCTCAGGCTTTTGATGTTATTTTATGAATCATACAGCACAAACAAAACTAAATAAGAATGCACAAAATAAAATTGTGTTAATCTACTTGTAGAGGAGAAGGCATTAAGTTTACTGATGAGGAAAAAAATAGAGTGCAGCAGTTAATCAGGCTGTGAAAAGAGAGCGTAGTGCTGGTGCATTGCGCAACAATTGTGCATGTGGATGCTGTGTGGACAGATCTATTTTTCAAGTGATGTCTGGACCTGAAGGCAGTCTAACGTGCATGTTGTTGATACTGTGGGAGGAAACCGGAGAACCTGGAGAAAACCCACACAAACACCAGGAGAACATACAAACTCCACCCAGAACCAAACTGGGAACTGAACCCAGTACCTTCTTGCTGTGAGGAAACGGTACTAATCACTAAGCCACTGTGCTGCCTATGAAGATTATGACGAGATTTTACTCACAAATGCCTTTTCTCCCTGGAAAACGGATGAGACAGAGGTTTGACGTTTTGTGGTCGGTTGGCGTCCACTTTGGGGTGGAGAGGACCCGTGACTTTGTGAATGAACAGACGGACCTTCTCTACCAGATTGCTGCCTTGTTTAACCTCATAAACCTGGGAAAGAAACAAAAGGTCTGCTTCACTTATGTCACAGTAACAATATGTTATAAATACACATGAACAGACGTCTCCTTGTACATTAGAAGGCTGTCAGCTGAAAGTGCATCCACTGTATAATCTGCGAGGTGACTAAGAGGACGATGTTATATCTAGTAAAGAATAAAGTTTAGGTCTTAATAATTTACCAACAAAAGGACTATTTATTAGGGAGAGGCAGTACTTTTTAAGATTGAATGTCTGGTTAAATGGGCAAATGGAAAGAATTAAAGCAAAAGACACAATGTTTTGTTTATTTTAAACACCAGGTAGTGACAGCCAAGCTGTTTACTTAACTTCTTACCTTTCTAATGCTATTCAACACAACTGCTATAGCCCACACCCTTGAAAATTTTAAGAAAAGTAACGGATTTCCAATGTATTCTGACATAGTATTTTATTTTTAAAGGATTTTAAAGGAGAAACTATGGTCAGCTGGTTGAGCTTAGCTTTATTATAGGAATACATGCACACCCCTGCATCCATTGGAGCACTGATAAAGAAATATAAAGCTCCTTGGCTAGCAGGATTAGCAGCAGCACATGTTTCTGTACCTGAAGCCTCTGTTTAAAGAGCTCTGAGGTGAAAGAACATGTTAATCAGAAGTTTTCCTTCCAACCATGTGGGCACAGCAATTTAGAAACAAAACATGACGCAGGCAACAATCTTAAATAATAAAGCAGCAGATAAGATATTAGGCCTCTTTTTTCCTGATGCGGTGATACTATTGTGCTATATTAAATAACCCTGAACGAATAAAGGCTTAAATCAACACGCACTGTAAGAAAGAATTGCTGCAAGGAGCTCTTTCTTTTGTAATAAGGCAGAAAACATGCTGAGTGGAGAATTTCATCAACTGTAAATTCTCGAAGAGGTTAGATACTTTGTACTTTGTATATTGTGCCAATATATGATCTATGTGACTTTCACAAAAAAACGGATGATCCAGAATTTAAATTCAGGTTGAAGCACAACGGTTTATCGTGCCAGAGGGTAATCATTGGACGAATGGAGCACCTTCTTCGTTGGCATCTTGAGCTTCATGAACTCAGCCTCTCGACACAAAACACTCCAAGGAGCATGGATCTTCAAGAAGCCAATCCCAGGGATTTTACTCTGAAGTACAAAACATGTGAAATATTAGGAGTGTCAGGAGAAAATGGACAGCCAAAATGAACAGAGAGATGATATAAAAACTGCAGACGTGTGCAAAGATTTGTGATGAGCAAAAAACTTTCCTGTTTAGTGGAAATCCTCGGCACCGATTTCAGCAAAAACTCTGATCTTTTTAAATAGCGATGACATTGTGTGTGCAGCCTGTTATGTTACGTAAAGGCACTTCTGCAGAGCCAGACTTACTCAATGCCCCACTCCCCCAGCTCTGCACTGACCTGTCTGGATGAAGGAATTGATGACAATACAGTGAAACGAGCTCCCTTACTGCATGTATAAAACAGACTTTCCTTATGAGCGCCAATAAATAAAACCGCTGGGATACACATTTATAACTAATGTAGTTATTGGGAGTTTATCTTAATAACTGTAGCATGTATTAAACATGTTAAAACAAGAGAGTTTAATTTATTTAAGTTCATGATCAGTTATTTTTATCTTAGGAAAATGTAAATCCTATAAATTAGTTAGTTTTTTTACTTGTTATAAAGCAAAGTAGGCTGTGATATTTATGGTGTATTCCACACAAATCAAACCATCTTGCACTGCAGCAGCATCCCTTTGTCAAATACTTCGTACTTTCAAAAAAACAAAAGATAATACATCTTCCTGCTCTCGTTCTTTGGCCGTTGCATCTCAATAAAACATTTCAAGCCTCACTGATACAAGATGATAACAGAATTAGCAAAGGAAACTTGATTCCTTTCATCACTTCTGCACATCTGCAAGTATCTACTTTATGTTTTAGACTCTTCTAAAGGATGCGCCTCCAAAGTTTGCTCTTACAGTTACAAGACATTTATTATGACTTCTGATGACGGAGTACCGTAAGTTGCTAAAAGCTTTTCCGGGAAGAAAATTTAAACAACAATGCTTCATGTCAAAGGGTCGCTTGTGTGGCTCTCAGTGCATAAAGAGTCATTTAACACCATTTGCCATTTTCTGAGAAAATGGACTGAAATGATAAAGACTCAGCAGGGAACAAATATTTGTCCTCCAAGCCTGAAAATGCACACAAATGACCCAAGTACTTCAAGGAATAGTTGGTAGGTTTAGAATAGGTTGCAAAAGTATTCACACTTGTTACAATCTAGAAATTCATGAGAATATTTGGAAAGGACCTGTGTTAATTTACACAACATAAGCTGTAATACCAAAGTTCATGCTCAATAATCCAGGTAAAAATCCAACAATGTTCAGTCAGGTCATCTGGACAGTTTCTTTTTATCGCCGAGACATTTTGTCCGTCATCCAAAGGACTTCTTCAATCTGAGGAGCCACCAAAACAAACGGCACACTGCATAGTGGAAAAACCCAGTTTGCTGGTGCTAAGATGTAATAAGCTGTAATAAATGTTTTGTAAAAAACAAAAAATAACATAATAAAAACAGACATTTAGGTCTCCGGGTATGTCTTTGTAAGTTTGGCACATTTAATAAATAAGATCTGAAGCTATCAATTTGGATCTCCTTAAGGGATTTTAAACTGATAATGTCAATAGAAATATCAAAGCAAATATGTTGTTTTTAGTATTTTACCTTATTTCATATGGCACCTCCATTTAACTGTGTTTAGAACTTCTTTTATTTGATTTTAATTGCTTTTTGTTGAATTATTGTCTATACTTTATATGTTGTCTGTCTAAAACAGGTCTCTCTTGTAAATGAGTTCTTGTGACTCAGTGAGACTTATGACAACAACAACTACTACATCATCATCATCATCATCATCATTATTATAACAATAATAACAATATCAATAATAATAATAATAATAATAATAATAATAATAATAATAATAATAATAATAATAATAATAATAATAATAATAATAATAATAATAA